TTCGCGGGAAGCAGGGGAGGGGGCGGAGCGTTCAGGTGAGGGGAGGAGGGGGAAGTGAGCTGGGGGCGGGGTGGAGTGGAGAGCTGCAGCGCAGGGCCCTCTTGGCGCGGGGCCCAATTCAGCCGAATCGGCTGAATCGGCCTAAAGCCGGCCCTGATGGAAGGACCAGGGATACAACTGTAAATTTGAAATGTTTATGCATAGAAGATCTATTCTAGGTTATTCTTAAGAGGCCATAGCTTACCAGAAATATGTGCAGTTGGTCTCCTGGTATTTCTGGTATCTGGCCTTTGCAATTGAAGGGATACAAAGATTTCAGTGCCTGATTAATTTTTATTTTTTTTCAAGTGCTTAGTTTTTCTACAACTTGTATTCTGTGTATGCCACACTTAGTTGGAATATTCTGTATAAGTCACTTTGGCTTTGTTTCTTGTGACTAGGGCATCCATCTTATAATCATGTTGATTAAACCTTTATACCACACCATCATGTACTCTGTGTACAGATATAGACATATGTGCACACACATCTTTGTATGTATTTATCTCTCAAGAGTATCTCAATCTTACGTTTGTCAGCATGATCTTTTGTGGATTCAGATTTTATTGACTTTGGTGAAAGAAATGTCACATTTTCTGTATTACTGGGTTTTGTCACTTGGTGTTTATGAATACTTGTTTCCATAATTTTTAACCCCCCCCCTTATTTGTCTCATAAATGGAAAATGGGGATTATCATCTCAAGAGCTCACTAAGCTTTCGTTTGTGCAGAGCCATGAAATCCTCTGTTAAAAGGTGCTGTACAACTGCAAAGCGTTATCTTCCTACACCAGCCCTCCTGCTCCTGGCTGTGGGTACAGAGGAGGTCATTGGAGTGCACTTTTAGTGCGCTTGCTTGTCGCCATGGCCCAACAAGCCACATAATTTCAGCTTTGTCCAGGATCAGTCTTTTCTTGCTGCTAGTGGAGTTGTGCAGTGAAGTCTCACTGTCTGTTTCCCTTGCAGACTAAAAACCTGGACTTCCGTCGGAAGTGGGATAAAGATGAATATGAGAAACTTGCAGAGAAACGGCTCACGGAAGAGAGAGAGAAGAAAGATGGTGAGTAGTGCACTGACTCCAGGCAGACTATCTTACAGTGACTCACCCAGCCCCTTTTGAGTGTGAGAGGGAAAGCAGCTGGAAGCAAATAACAGGAATTCAGGACCAGTTTGTCCTCTGTTCCTTTTCCTTTGCTTGCCATAGAATATAATCCAGTGGGTGTTTTTTTTTTCGTTATAAAAAAGAGGCCAGGAACCTTATTCCTTCCCTGTTCTATTCCATATAGAGATGGAGGAATGATCAACATCTGGAAATGGGAAGACCTCAAAGTGTGGCCCAATTGGATGACTGAGGATTCTTTAGCAATCTTATTAATTATAAACTATCACTTACTCTGCTGTTCCCTACAATGCAGGGAAGAATTACTCTTTAAAAAATGGAATCCCAGCATGAACCAGATGGCCCAATGGTTCTCAATGACCTTCTTCACTGTGGGCAACTTGTGATCCATTGTTTTAGGTTCCCAAACCTTTCTGAAGTAGTTCTGTTTTTGGTTATGTTTTTAGGCAAACCGGTTCAGCCTGTCAAGAGGGAACTTCTGCGGCACCGAGACTATAAAGTGGATCTGGAATCCAAGCTGGGGAAAACCATTGTCATCACCAAAACTACCCCTCAGTCAGAGATGGGAGGGTAAAGCACCTTTATTTTTTTCCAGGCTACCATGCTTTCAGATGTTAACAAAGAAAGAGTCTTGGGATAGTGTTACGTGCAACTAGGGTCATGGCAAAGCAAGGAAGCCTTATAGAGTGCCAGTTTTTGTACCTCCTCAGCAGCACAGGAGGAAAACTTTTTAGTTACAGCAACTTCCACCAGCTTCTATATCGTGTTAGATCTGGAAATTAACTTTCTGGAATTATGGCCAGAAGTGCAGCAGTGCAAGCTTCTTCCTCCCTGACCACCCCACATCAATGTTTCTCAACCACTCTCTGGAAACCTCCTCTAGGCAATCTCTATAGCCTGGTCAGTCCTTGGCTTCTTGGCTAAGACTCGCAATAAGAAGCCAGTTACATATTGAGATGCTTTTGTGATCTAGATACTTATCCACTAGAAATGGGGCTAGTTTGCGCCACAGAAATCCCCAAAGGTCTCTGCTGTAGTAATGACTCTTGGTTACTATTGACAGGCGTTACATTTGAGCTAGTGAAAGGCTCCTTAACCCATCCCCAATATTCTGAGCCATCAAGTCTCTGGAACAAGGAGCTTTAAAGATGGCCCAGAGTAATAATAAGCATTTCAGTGGCCTGTTGTCAGAGGAAGGTAGCAAAAGGTACCAAGAGAAATATATGGATGAGAGAGAAGGGGTTTCCTCTTAGAAAGGGGCTGACTGAAAGCAAAAATAAGCCATCGTACAACTGCAAAGATGGGCCAGTTTCTCTTCCAGCTCTTCTCTCCCCCCACCTCACCAAAACGTGGGAAGTAGGACCTGGGAGCAATCACTTCAGACTTTATAGGAAGTGGGTGCTGATTGTACTAGCTCACATTGTTTCTTGGACTCTCTATGTTGTAGATAACTTCCCTTTCGCCCTGCGGGAGGAGGTACTATCCCAGAATCAGGCTTATCAGAGTCCAGACAATACAGTTCAATGCTCCTGTGTAATGCTGGACTCATACTTACCATATTTCTGAATGCTCAGCATACTATCTAGCATTCTAGCTTTCTTCCGGTGCAGTATTTTTGAGTCTAGGGCTGCTGTCTGGAATTGAACCAGGCCCAGGTGAATTTCTCTCTTTAATTGGCATGAAAGGAAAATTCTTACAGGATGAATTTTGTCTTGTGCTTTGGAGCTGATCCCTTCTCTCTTTCTCCCCAGATATTACTGTAATGTATGTGACTGTGTGGTGAAAGACTCCATCAACTTCTTGGATCATATCAATGGCAAAAAGCGTAAGGATAATATATTTTCTCTGTGCCATGTTGCGTGATCACTAAAATACTGTTACAAGCCTTTCCCCTACCAAATGTACTTCCTTCTGTGTGGCCAGGGCCTACAGTGTCAAGTGTTGGCACATATGGAAATAAATGCTTTTAATATTAGGATTTACTCAGCATTTGCTGGTGAGGGTCATGGAAATGCTGACTTGTTATCTCCTAACAACTTCTCCATGGTGCTGGAGGCCACTGGTGTGAAATGAGCTCAGGAGAAATTGCAACAGTTAAGCCCTTCATTGGACTGGGAGTGAGAAAATGCTTCAGAATTTCTGTTGTCAGAGAACCCCATTGTCAACAAGCTGTGCAGTTCCTCAGGGAACTTTAAAAGTGGATGATAAATATCATTGGCTTGTCAATGTTAGAAGGAAATTTCTAAGGAAGGAATAGGGATATGTCCCCTGATGGCTAGATCCCTTTCTTAGAGGGAAGTGGAGCATAATGAATTCCTGAGCTCTGATACCAACTCTGACCTGGTCTCCCTCCATGGTTCTGAGCAAGGTAGTCAACCTCTGAGTCTGTTTCCTCATCTCTAAAACATGGATCAAATGCACAGGGGTGTTGTGGGGATTAACTACTTTGTTTATAAAGAATTATTGAATTGCCTTGTAGAGCCATACTGTGCAAGCCATGTGCTGGGCTCCTGTTGATAACAACACAACCATTCAGGAGGTGCTTGGGCCTAGGTGGGATCAAAAGGTTCCATGGCATGAAGTATAAAAAGCTATCCCTCATCCTCTGGACCAACTGTCATTTCCTTTTCCTATTTGTGTGATCATTCATGGAAGTAGGAACTCCTATTCTCTCAACTTTATCTTCTGGTTAGTTTAAATTTAACATTGGCTTAGCTTTCCTATTTTATAATTAGGTAGAGCTGTAGTATTGAATTTTTAAAATAAATTTGTAGTGACTGAGCAATTCTGTTGGTCTTGACTCCATTGGAATTGCAGCTGACCCAGAATAAGAGGCTAGATTCACAAAGTATGCTTCTTGCTGAGCAGAATATCTACTGTAGATCAGCTTGTTAGTGAGTAGAGCGCTTAGGAGAGAAGAACTGTCCCAGCAGGTGTTCATCCTGTGTGGCTTTGTCCCCCATAAAGCATGATGGGAGTGGAGAAGGAGGTCTTCCTGTTGGAGGAGGATTTGACTCCATGCCCTTGCTCTTCAAAGCTGATTAATTCATCAGTGTCTAAGTCCTCAGGTGGGAGTCTGTGTTCTCTGCCGTTGAGGTCAGCATTGTCCAGACATTAATCAGAGGCCATCATCATCAAGGCAGGCACAGATATCGTTTTATCCAAGGAAGCAGGGGACAGAGTTGGGCTCCTTCACTTCAGGTCGGAAGTGAAGAAGGAGGGCAAGACAATACCAACAAGCTTTGATTTCTCCATTTGTCGATATGGAAAAAAAGTGGTGGAAAAGGAGATCTCAACATCCTAGTCCAAAGTGATCAGTCAAAGAGTTCTCAATCTAAGTAGTCCTCAGTCCTGAGTGTAGTAGGAAGAGAACATGAGATACAAACCCTTGTATCAGAGGCTGGGTATGAGGCCTGAGCTAAAGTAGTGGGCAACCTTTGCTGATATAAAGCAAAGTTAGCAAAAGTCAGGCTGTGAACAAACATCAGGCTCTGCCTGCTTGCAAGTTCACAGAATGTGGCAAGGACAGAGCTGATATTGCAGAAACACACATTCCTAAGAAGTGCTAGGCACAGAGTACTCACGCAAACACATTCCAGAAGAATGGTACCAGTATATCCCAATATTACGGATGGTACAAAAACATTCCCCACGGATAACAGGAACACACTGACCCCTCCTGAAAGATATGGTCAGGATGACCGTATGATGAATAAAGATGTTTTGATCGATCCAACATGTACAAGGAGATGAGTGATAACTAGCACGTCATGGGGGCAGTACGTAACTTGTTTGTATCAGGGTATAAAGAGGTATCTCTGAGAGAGTGTCTTGGTCCAGCCGAGGGGGAAATGGAAAGTCCCTCCATTTGCTGAACTGCGTCCGTTGTCACGGGCATACGTTTAGTATCCTCGTAGAGTCTGCCAGGTGCTATTACCGTGTTTTATTGACAATAAACCTGGCCTGGTGCTTTTGTACCTTAATGGATCTCGTAGACATTGGGCGCTTCGCTCGAGGTCTGCTGTGCCAGCTGTCTGCGCAGAGCTGGGGCAGCACACAGGGAGAACACACACACGCAGCCGAACATCTAACAACATTGAGAACCCATCTGTTCTGAGGAAGTTACCAGTGGTGGTTTCATCCGTTCTTAAAGCTTTTGACAACTCATCCTTCTGTGGGGGGTGACCACTTGGATCTAGTTTTGCAGTCTACACTAATTAAGCCTTTACACCATCTAAAAGCAGAAATTTTAGAGGACATGGATGAGAACCCTTACTGTTCTCTCAGTGGAGGATCTGTTGATCTGACTTTGCAGCTGGAATGTGGATCTGTAGCTTGTAAGGGATTAGTATAATTTGACTCTACTATGGAACACAGAAAGATCTGATCAGTCCAAGTTAACAGAAACGTACTTTGGCATTGTTCCAGGAACTGACAGTAAAAAGTGCCACTTTCAGTAGTAGGTCCTTCCCCATATGCTGATTTTATGTCTGGTTCAGTGTCATACAAGAGTAACAAACACCACCATTTTAGGATTCTGTGGCAGTTGGAGGCAGCCACTGTTGCATCCATCATAAATATGGTCTGTGCTGTAACTGGTTCAACATCTTCTGAGTATTCAAGGGAGAAGGTCCTTAGAGAGAGTTTCTGTTTCTAATTCCTATATTACTTTCATATCCCTGTCTCCTAGAAAGAAGGAATTGGTTAAAAACTGGGGAAGGAGAAATAAGAGGAGGAAATAGTGTAGAAAACAATCCTCCGTCTGTGGAGTCTATGGTCCTTTCTTCTGTGTCATCACCAGAAGTTTCCAAGGCCTTTCTAGAGATCATAATCTAGATGCCCAAGGCTCTGGACCTTCCCCTCTCTGTAGCCCAAAATGAAAAGTCTCAGAATTTTTGATATGTTCTTGGTTGTGCAGAGAGCAAAAAGGTTGCTGACCCAATACTAAGGGTCTTTTGGATATAGCTACGAAGTTGTGGGCTCATCTGGCCACAGTACCAGCAATAGTAAAGGAAATGAATTGGCCAAATTCAATCATATTTGTGGAGTACTTAGATGATACAGTGGTAGGGGCCATATGAGAATGTAGATAGATCTTCAGTCTTCCTGTTGAAAAGACCCAAATATCAATTATCTATTTTTTCCCTTGTGGATCTCTCATGCATTTGAAAAGGAAGATAGTGGCAGTATAAGTCCCTTATGTTCCACTTTCATAGAGACCACTTTCTACCTCAAAGCCATTGTTCCTCTGTCAAAGAGCAGGCTTCATGGCATCTATAAAAGCCCCAAATAGTTTCTTTCCTCATCTGTTCCCCTTATAATACTTTTTGAGGATAGACTGCTTCATGTTTCCTTTTCCATTTCAGTCAGACGAATGGATTCTAGAAATGATGGGAAATGGCAATTGTTTTGTATTTTCGATCTCTTTTTAGGGGGTCTTTCTCACAAGATGGTGCTGTGGGGGAAAAATTACTTCCCTTTTAAAGATTGGTACTATGGAAACCGTGTCTGTTGAGTTCAAAGGCAAAGGCTTCTATTCCCCATATTAGTATTTTTCTAAAGTCCTTAAAAGAAAGTGAGGGCCTTTGTCTTATCTCTATTATAAAAAGCTAAATGAATTCATTAAGAATTAAGTTTTACATAGTTTCTCTGTCAAATATTCCTTCCATTATTTCACAGCACTGGTTTAATGTGCTCTATCTCAGATGTTTATTTTCATATTTCTATAAGAAAAAGACTCAGGAAACTTCCAAAGTTCCAGTTCAGCAACAAGCATTTCCAATACAAGGTATTGACATTTTGCATTTTCCAAAGCCCCAGGGTATTTATCTGTGGTGGCTCCTCACTTAAGAAGACAAAGTTTTCAAGCCTGTCTGCACTTTGCCAACTGGCTGGCTAAGCCAAAATTATCCTAAGTGGCTCAAGATCTCTTGCAATCTGCCTGTTTCAGAGGTTGATCAAATGCAGAGAAAGTGCTGTTGGAGCCTAGTCAAAGTCTGACTTTCACAAAGCAACTCTGGATTTCTCAAAGGGACTGGCATTGCTGCTGCTTGACACATTTGAAGAATTAAAGACAGTGCAGCTAGTTACGGAGCAACTAGTGCACCAGCCAGATTTTACCTCATGGTGCCGAGTGTCATGGTGCCATGAATACTCTTAACTCCCTGAGCAAGATTATGAATGACAGCTCTCCAGAAGGGGTTACATTCTGGACACAGTCCAATCTTACACAGTTTGAATGGGATTCTCTGTTTAATTAGAGGCTTGTTCAACACCCCTCTTTGGCTCTGATGCTACTTTCTAGGCTTCTGCAATGAGTGGTTTCAAAGAGAGTCTTTGAAGGAAAAATTGAAATTATTCACCCACTAACTTACATTCGTAGAATGTGTTACCTCAGCAGATCCTCACTAACCTTGCCTCCTCCTCTCTTGCAAAAATTTTTTCAAAATAAGCCTGTTGAGGTGAGAAACAAGAAAAACCAGAAAGAAAAATGGGATTTTTAAAGGAGTGTTGAGAGTAAACCACTGTAGTTTATTGAAATGTATTTAAAAGTGGCTCTGTTAGAAGGATAGGCCTATATTTGGCACACATTGGGGGTCAGGTGGTGAGAGATGGATCTACATTTCAATAGAATTTGGAAGTAGAAATCCTGGGACACATTTATTTCCTCAGTGCATGATCCTCACGTATTATTAACCTCTGTCCTTTTTGTAAGATCCTGGGAGAGTTGCTGGTTGGGAAGGGAGGTTGTGCGCAAGGGGATCTCTCTTATATAAACTCATTCACAGAATGAAGTTTGAGCATGATTGATCTAGTCCGTAAAGCTGGATGCAAAGTGAAACTGCCTAATATCTCTGGACCACTCTGAAGCTGGTTTCAGACATGTAGCACTCTTGTGCCTGAGCTTTGTACTGCTCCTTAACTGCTGCTGGCATTGGTGGTTCCAAAGCAATCTGCTGCCCCAAGGCATGTCCCAGACAGGCAGCAGACTATCTGGCAGTGTGGTGGCAGGAAGCCAAGAATGCATGGTGAATTGGCCAGGCATAAGTGCTTTGGAAACACTGCCATGTGGAAACTTGTTCATTATCAACTCCACTTGTTAGAGAGCTTTGAATCTTCCCTATTCACTCTCTATGAATTAGTTATTTATAATTATTTATCTTGGTGTTTCATTGGAGGATGGGCAGCTCTTTAATCTTCCTGCCTGCATTTTACCAATGACTAGAAATTCCCTGCTTAACACTGAGCTTCTACAAAATGCCACTGATATTTTTCTTTTTTCTTTTTGTCCTGTCATCACTGAAGAGGTCTGCTGCATGGCAGGACTTAATTCTGATAAGTAGAGTCTCCCACATCAGCACTCTACAGCTCTCCAGTCACTTACACCTTCCGTGGACAGGACAGAGTTGGATTTCCATTCAGAACTCCTGACATTTCAAAATATCTGGGATGGGGTAGGGGCTACCATCGTGGCACCTTTAAAGGAACAAGTCAACTTGTCACACTTTTGTGTGTAAATATTTTGTTTACTATTATTATGAGTACTGTCTGAGATTATTGTAACTGAAAAATGAGATGTGCCTTTCTCTCCCAACCCTCCTTTTTTTGTTTACATGTGAAACTGCTTCTTTACCAAGTGCTGTCAAAAGCACAGTTTCCCTTGTTTAGTCATATGGTTTCCCGTTTCATTCATAGATTCCAAGGCTGGAAGGGACCATTGTGATCATCATGTCTGACCACCTGTATAACACAGGCCAGAGAACTTCCCCAAAATAATTCCTAGAGCAGAGCTTTTAGAAAAACATCCAATCTTGATTTTAAAATGGTGATGGAGAATCTACCACAATCTTTGGTAAATTGTTTCAATGGCTAATTACCATTGCGATCAAAACATTATACCTTATTTCCAGTCTGAATTTGTCTAGCTTCAACTTCCAACCATTGGATTGTGTTACATCTTTCTCTGCTTATACTGAAGAGCCCGCTAGTAAATATTTGTTCCCCTTGTAGTTACTTATAGGCTGTAATCAAATCACCCCTTAACTTTCTCTTTGTTAAGCTAAATAGATTGAGCTCTTTGATTCATCAGTATAGGGCAGTTTTTTTAATCCTTTATCATGACTCTTCTCTGAACCCTGTCCAATTTATCAACATCCTTCTTGAATTGTGGGCACCAGAACTGCACACAGTATTCCAGCAGCAGTCGCACCAGTGTCAGATACAGAGATAAAAATTGGTAAGGCAACTCCCATCTTTTCATGTGCTGTATATTTATACCTGCTTACTGTATTTTTCACTCCATGCATCTGATGAAATGGATTATAGCCCACGAAAGCCTATGCCCATATAAATTTGTTAGTTTCTAAGGTGCCACAAGGACTCCTCGTTGTTTTTAGAGATAAAATAACCTCTCTCCCACTTGAGAATTCCCTTTTTATGCATCCCAGGATCACATTAGCTCTTTTGGCCACGGTGTCATTGGGAGCTCACATTCAGCTGATTATCCACTATTACCCCAAATTTCTTTCAGACTCATTGCTTCCCAGCATAAAGTCCTCCGTCCTGTAAGTATGGCCTATGTTCCTCACTGTATACAGTTACATGTAGCTGTATTAAAATGCATATTGTTTGCTTGCGCCCAGTTTACCAAGAAATCCCAATTGCTCTGAGTCAATGACTTGTCCTCTTCATTTATTTACTACTCCCCCAGTTTTTGTCATCTGCAAACTTTATCAGTGATGGTGTTGTTTTCTTCCTGTTGTTTGTGTGGGTCTTTCACACAGACATGGAAGAGAGAGAAACAATAAAAAATAGATACAGGTGATTGTAAATCCACACACATTGGTTTGGGGGCTCAGGAGCAGGTATGGATCTTAAATCTACATTTTAATTTTGACTAGGTTTTAGATCAGTGGTCCCCAAACTGTGGAGGGTGCCCACTGTAGGGAGATGTGGAGAAACGTTCGGGGGGTATGGCGGAACCTGGGTCAGCCCCCCCGGGGTCGGGGAGGAAGTGCTACCCAGCCCCACTCCCAGCTGAGGTCTAGCTGCAGCACCAGCCCTGTAACTGACTGCAGCCCCTGGCCCCTGACTGTGGGGCTCGGGGGGGGGGGGGGGGGGGGGGCAGGACTTGGACAAAAAAATGTGGGGAACCACTGTTTTAGATTGTGGAAATATCCCTTTAAAACCCATCATCTGTCAGACACTGCAAACTGCACAGAATATGGAAACAAAGGACTAAGATGGAGACCGGAGCTCTAATTTGTTGTCTGGTAGCACAGAGCTCTACCTGCAAATCACTGCTGGGGCATTTTTCCCTAATTGATTTTTCAGAGGTTGCACTTGTGAAGCATTGGCAGTGAACGCATTGTGAGCTGGATTTACTGTTGCCCTGTTAGTGCGAAGTGGGTATAAAGTGCTACTAATCAGAATGGCAGCATTTTACATCTGCTTTACACTTGAGTAAATGATTACACAAAGTACAGGGGAACAGTGAATTGGGCTCTATGGTGGCACTGGAAGTGGGTTGGGGAACATTGGTGCAAGGGGATGTATGAGGGTGGAATGGGAATTGGAGGAGGTTACAATGACACTGAGTGTTGAGACTTCTAATTTTGGGTCCTGGAATAGGCTGTCTGCAGATGTTTAATGGGCACTGAAGTAGAAGTAACATGGCTGCTCTCTAATAGCCCTGTCCATTCCTGTCTCCTCCAGATCAGAGGAATCTGGGCATGTCCATGAGGGTGGAGCGCTCCACACTAGATCAAGTGAAGAAACGCTTTGAAGTGAACAAGAAGAAAATGGAGGAGAAACAAAAGGATTATGACTTTGAGGAGAGGATGAAGGAGCTTAGAGAGGAGGTGAGGCAATGGCAGCATTGCAACAATTCATTCATTGAAGGAAGCCACCATGTGTCTAACTATCAAACAAAAATGGGCAAAGAATGTTGGCAGCAAGTGCTCCCAGTACACCAAGATCTCTGCTGGGTTAAAAGAAGGTCTTCTCTTCTTCTCTGTCTCCCCAAAAAGTCCTTTCTCTGAATTGTGACAGCAGTTGTTTTCAGACAAAACTGTCATCTTCATGTTCTCAGGCATAGTGACACTGATCAAAATATGTAACATTCAGTGTATCAACTCCCATAACCTGAATGTGATCTCAGGGCTCAGAAAGTGGTAATTAAAGCTGACTTTTCATATATTTCCTTGTAGTGCTGCCATGGTTTCTGGTGCTGAGGTAGAAGAGGAACTTCTCCTATGTTGTACTGCATCTGTGCCACCCCCATGGATGCCAGAGCTTTAGGAAGCTTGATATGTGCACACAGGAACTCTGTTAAAATCAAATGCCCCATGTCACTTCCCTCTCTCCCTCTTGAAAATGTTTTTAAAAGGCAAAAGCAAAGCCCTGTAATGAAGATTTACCTCCAATTTCATTTCAAAATAACCAGGAAAGCTCTTCTGGGAGTTGAAAAGCATCTTGTACGTCCCTGAGCTCTTTGATGCTTTTATTTCCTATAAATGGTCATTACAAAAAAAATGCTCCTGGTACATAAGGCTCCCCTGCCACCTTGGTTTCCAGATTCTCTGAGCTTTATTCTACAGCATGGGTTATCCACAGGGCCACCAATGCAATCCTAAAACACGGCCTCCAACTGTACTGGCTTGGTTGGGACAAAGCTGGTCAACTGCAGGTTTTGTTGCTGATGAACCCAAGGAATTTTTATTAATCTATTTAGGGAAATACAAATGCAGAGACATATTAGGGGTGCAGGAAACTCCTTGGGATGAAAGACTGATGGAAATTTACATATTCTAAAAAATAAACCGTAGTATGTGACACCAATAAGCTGCTAAGTGTGGCTGTCTTAGACTAAATCCCCTGTGTTGGAGTTACAAAGCGATAGACGTGCAGGTGGTGATGGAAACACTGAGAGACCTTGAGCTCCAGCACCAACAGGAACTGCTGCTGAGTTGGGAGCTGAAGTCACACTTCTGTATACCCCCAGCAGAAGTCTGGCGCCGTTCCAGGGCCTGTGATCTTCATAGAATGAAACATTCTGATTAGAGCAATGAAAACTCTTTGAAGCCAAACTCCCCCCCACCTCCCCCCAGGCAACTTAGAACTCAGCTTATGTTCCACTGAGCAGCTGTCACTCTGCTGCACCAAAAGCCGTCAGACAGTGACATTGTCTGTAGCCATCATTCAGCACCACAGTTGTTGGAACAGGGCATCAGTACAAGAGAAATGTCTCCTGTTTTAAAAACAACTCTCCTTTTGCCTTGTTGAATTTCTGATTCTTTGGCATTTGTTTAACAGGGGAAGCTGAGACTCACACAACACTATTGCAGTATAATCCTCTTAGGTGTAATTTACCTGGTAGGATCACTGGACCATGGCCTTTCCCTGTGGGAAGCCACTCTCCTCCAAGTCCACCATTTTCCTTCCATCCATTGTCTGTTCTTCAGACAGAAAAGAATCCTGTCTCCCTATGTTGGTGATAGAAATTAGGCTGACTGATAAGTGTCCAGACCTTCTATCTTAAGGGGCTTGCGGAATAAGAAAGTTAGAATCACACTGCATTTCTTTCCTTGTACTGCAGGAGGAAAAGGCCAAAGCCTATAAGAAGGAAAAACAGAGAGAGAAGAAGAGAAGGGCAGAGGAAGACTTGACATTTGAAGAGGATGATGAAATGGCAGCTGTGATGGGTTTCTCTGGCTTTGGCTCTACCAAGAAGACTCACTGATCAGCTCTGGACTTTACCCTTTCTTGATAAAGATTGTTTATACCCCCAGGACTCTGGAAAACTCTTTAAAGACTTGACAGAGAATTTGTATGTAATTCTCCCACTAGATGTTGGCTGGAGGAGTTGGGAAGCAATTCCACGCTCAACCTGTGCTGCAGAACAAGCTCTGTCCCCAGTCATTAGTGCCCTACTGCCTGCAGAGATACCATAACCTTAGCCTAGCTGGCAAACATCTAAATTCCAAATGAAGAGACCTTTCAATTAGACCTCTTCTCCACAAACTCCCCCGTCCCATCCTGCAGTAAATTCTGTGGAGTTCTCATGGTTTCTGTCTCTGATTCTTTTCATCTTTTGTGAGGAGTCTGCAAGCTGAATGTTTCTTCTGGAAACCCCATTGGCCTTTAGCCACCTCATCCTTTGTACTAGTCCTGGCTGCTTGTCACTCTGTGTTCTGTGGCCTTGTGTGTGTGTGCGCGCGCGGGGAAACATTCTGTTGGGTACCTTTTAGTGTTAAACTAATAAAATTCTGTACAGATGGTATGGTTCAGGAATTGCTTGTCCAGCTGAGAAATGGGTACACTTTTTGTTTGCTTAAAATACAGAGAATTCTTTACATTTTTTTAGATGTGTATCTAAAGGAATTACACTGTAATGAGTGTTAAATATGGATAGTATAGGTTGAATTTTTATTTCTTTTGTTGAGAAGAGCTTGAGGCTTTTTGGACACTGCATTTGCTGAAACTTCTTTTTGTATTTTATCTGCAATGGACTCTCTATTTTATTTTCACTGTTTTCCTTTGTGTTCAGTGGTGTAATCAGAATTTCTTTAGCGTAGGTAAGAAATATCTTTCTGGGATTTACCTAGGATAGAGCTAAAGGGAAAACAGCAGAGAAATATGTGGAATTTGCCTAAAATAAATACATTTTTGGAAACTATCAGATTGTTTTGTAGGGAATCTTGTTTTATTCTTTTTAAGTGAGGACTTGAGAACAGAACAGGTAATGGCTTTCGAAGTGTGTGTTTGTTTGGTGTGTGGGTTTTCTTTTGTGTGTGGGGGGGCGGGAGAGGAATTGTTGGGTAGGAAATCCCAGACTGGAGTTTCTTGCCTCAGCTATAATAAATGGACTCTAGTGTTTAATGGCCATTGTAGTATGTCCCTAAATATTTCTTATCTTATTTGGGGCTTTTTCTTTCTGACCTTGCATCTGGTTGGGGACCTGCTTTCTGAGCCACTTCAGGTCTCCTATTCCCCAAATCCTTTTCATTGCTCCTTTTATTTACTTCAATCCAACCCTCTGTGACTCATCTGCTTTTTCCAGTTAGGAGGATTTACATCTCATGTCGCTGATTTTCATAGTGCCATCCTTTTTATATTGATGGGATCATTGTTCTTGCCGCTCTCTGTACCTTTGTGAAATCTCAGACTCAAGGAAGGACTGCAGTGTATTTAGCCTTCTCTTTCTAATACACACAGAATAAATCCTGTAATGCTTTTCTGCTGTTTTTAATTCCTTAATTTTAGACTGCTGACAGCTTCATTGCCTCAGATATTTCCACTTCAATTCAGATTATAATCCCCATTGAAGATGCTATTGAAATGATATACAGCCAGTAGCATTGCCAGCTGAGATACAACTGTCCTTGGTGATTTGACCCTTGAAACTCAAAAATCCTTTTACTGTGGCTCAGGAACGTCCTCAGTGCACAAAGTGGAAAAATGAATTTCATTCCAGCCACGTACCTGTCCCTGTTCAAACCAAAGCACAAAACTACATTTAAATGAGTGAGAGAAAGGAAGCTTGTGATTGTACCCTCAGTGCCTGTTGGGTGGGGGAGAAGGGATTATGCTGCCATGTAGCTGTTTCATGCACATTAAAAGTTTAGGATGTTTTAGATGAGATTTCTACACCAGCCATTTTACCCTGGGTAATGACTTTGCAGCCAGCTAAGGCCCTTCAATCTTTTGCTCAGACACATTTGCAAACCGCTCATGACTGCAGACTGAACTAATTAAGTTTGGTTTGTGCTGATGAAAAGCAGCATGGTCCAGTGAACCATGGATAGAAGTGGGCACCAGGGCAGACCTCCTGTGTCCCTGGTGCTGGGTCTGTTCTTGATTTGCTGCATGACCTTGAGGAAAAGTAACTTCACAGGTAGGTGCCTCCATTTCCCTTTATGTAAAATGAGCACATGCTGCTATGGGGATTAACTAATTAATGTCTGCATAGTGATTGTTGTAGATTCCCTGCCCCCAAGACACACAGCCCTCGCTCATTGGAGCAGGCAAAGAGGGTGGCATAATCTCTGAAGGAATAGTTGGCAGTGCAATGGGGCAGGGTTGTGGCCATGCTCCGGTTAGTCCAAATAAAGACATAACCTGAGAGACAACCTGGGTGACGTAATCACAAGACAACTGAGGTCTAGGTGAGTTCTTGACTCAGTTTGGTAGCACTTGCAGACGTGGCCTGTAAAGGATTATCAGATCAGGGATGTTACTTTAGCAGACAGTGGGAGAACTGACCCCCAGTGTCACCGTACCTGGCTATCTTTGGGTGTGTGCATCCTACTTCACTAGCAGGGATGGATACAGCTCTGTCTCCCAGCTGCCCTGGAGAAGGGGCAAATCCCTTGGCAGAATAGTTGGGGGCGGGGGGAGGAGGAGCTGTTTTTCATTTGCATGATTTCGTCCCCCTTCTGCATTAAAAGCCTTTTACCTAAACCTAAGCCTGAGGCTATCTCCCTCTGCTGGGCCTAAGCTTCCGCCTACACATGGCAGTATCTCTGCCTGCTTCCTCAGTCCCAGCGCTGGGGCTATGCTCTCAAGGGGAGGGCTCTTTGTCTTGGTTACTTGCTGGGAGCAGTGGAGTGTGCAGTGGCAGAGATACAGGCTCGTGCTGGATTCCCAGCAGCAGGAGCTGCCTCCAGCCAAGGATGAAAAGCCAGTTTCATAGGAGGAAATAATATTTAGCAAAAAAAAAAAAAAAAAGAGAGAGAGATAATAATCCCCTGCACTGAGCATTAACCCTCTGCTCTCCTGCCTGCCTGGCACTGAGCATTAACCCTTCATTTCCCTCCCTCCAATCCCCCTGCACTGAGCATTAACCCTCTGCTCCTCTCTCTCCACCCCCACTCTGATGAGTATTAAACCCTGCCCCTGTTGGGGTGATACTCCCGTGGGGGGGGGGGGGGAGGGAGTGGGACACCGCCTTCCTACGAGGCAGGAAATGCGGTCTCCAGGGTTTAGATCTAGCACAGGACTGGACATGCTCCCTCCCCACATAGCCATGCACAATGCCTGCTTGCCTCTTGCAATGCTGGGGGCGATGGCTGTTCCTCACTCTTCCCCAAGCCTTTGTGCCACACTAACTCCCCCCAAGGAAGCTGGAAGATATGGAGCTGGGGGGGAGGCCCCCTACTATCACTGCCCACCCTACTCCCAGGGCTTGGGGTGCCTTTCAGTGGAACTCTCACCAGCTTGGACTTGGACATGGGGGTGGGGGGCAGTGTTCACAGCCCCATCTCCTGCCCTCTCCACTGCACCCCACCCCACCCCAAATTTGCATGTATTTTTCCTTGAGCAGGCTGGGTGCTTCTCTTCACCAACTCCTATAGCTTCCCCAGGCCCCTCTTGCTTCCCGGCTGGCTCTAACCAGCCATTACTTCATAAATGCTCTGGCTGAGCACACTCTGCTGGGATTTCAAGTCCTGTGGGCGCTGCCCTGGCTTTCAGCTCCCAGGAGACCATTGGGAGCCCTGAATCGGAGTAACCACCTCAGAGGAGCCGGTCAGGGCCAGGGATTGACCCCGGGAGCATGAGGAAGACTGGAATTTGCACCTGTAGAGTAACATTTTGTAGCTGGGTTGGTCCCAAGATATTAGAGAGACAAGGAGGGTGGGTGAGCCAGACCTGAAGAGCTCTGCCTAAGCTCGGAAACTTCTCACCAACAGAAGTTGGGCCACAACTTGTCTCAGCTCTATAGTAAAATACACAGTGTGAGCGGCTGGAGCCCTGGCCAAAGCGGAACTGCATTGAAGGGAGGGGTACTGTGCTAGGCAGGGACAATGACCAATTACCCCCCTTTCAAATACCCCCTCAATCTATTGTGATTTGTGCCAGCCTCAGTCCTGCAGCCCTTGCTCAGGCAGAGCTACCGCTAGCTTTGCCCGAGAAAGAACTCAGGGCTTCAGGATGTGGCCAGCTGTAGGGGATTCTCTTACTGTTTAATGCAATGAAATATTTATAGGAGCACTTGGAAAAGCGCATAGGCTTTTATGTCAGCCTATGAAAAAACTCAGCTTTCACTCTCTCTCCAGTTCATCTATCCCAGTACTTATTCTGGCCTCATAACCACGATAGCTGGGTGCCTTACAGAATTACATAGATCTGCCCTGTGGCCTTATCACTGCTGATGCTCTCCACACAGTTCTCCACACGAGAGGGCAGAGTGGATATCATTATTAATATTGCTGCTGTGAGAAAGCTCAGGCGACGAGAAGCCCTACGAAACACTTGACAAGGGTGAGACAGCTGCTGTGCTGTGCTGGCTGCTTATTACACTAATCAAAACAGCCTCGCTCTTACCTTGTGCTTCCACATCTCTTTGTTGTAACCACCTTGTGTGTCTAATGTTCTAGACAGACTGTAATCTCTTTGGGGCAGGGACTTTCTTTGTGTTATATGTGTGTACAGCACCTAGTGCATATAGGGCCCTGATTAGGCCCGTGGGTGCTACTACAATACAAATAATAACCATAATTCATGTGTTTTGCCCTGCAGGAGGTGAGAGTTGTGGTCATTGTGACTTCTTGGGCAAGGGAATTCCATAAGCTGGAACCATGGCCTAGCTTTGCAAAGGTATTTAGGTGCCAGAGGTGGTGCTAGCCCATTGGGATCCTAAGCAGGAATATTTTTGGTCCCCTCTACACAAACTAAAAAAGAGAATAGGGGGCCCTCTTGAGCTGTTCAGGGCCCTAAACAATTACTTTGTCTGCTTATACCTAATGCCGGCTTGGTTAGGTGCCTAGCTCCCATGGGAGTTAGGTGCCTAAATCCCTTTGTGGATCTGGGCCTGTGTCGCTCAATGGCTCCTAACCTCTCTTGCCTTTGATCAAAGTCACCAAAACCCTTTCTTTGTGTTATATGTGTGTACAGCACCTAGTGCATATAGGGCCCAGATTAGCAGGGCTGGCTCCAGGCACCAGACGAGAAAGCACATGCCTGGGGCGGCACAGTGTAAGGGGCGGCACTCTGGGCAATCTTGGGGCGGCCAGCCCAGCCCTGCAGGGGCACGAACTAGCGATCCCCGCTGCTCACCGTGCCGCCGGGCTCCCCGGGACGCGCCACTCCCCGCCGCCTGCACCGGCCTCCGCCTCCCGCGCCGCTCTGAGCCCGGCCCAGCCGAGCTGCCTTTAAAGGAGCGGCTGAGCCAGCACCTCCTGCAGCCCCCGGGGGCTCCGCCTGCCCGGCTGGGAGAAGCACCCCAAGGCCAGAGGGCTGCTCATGGGCGGAAGGAGCGGGCGGGTGCTGCCCTTCACCCCCCTGCAAGCCACCTTGACCGCCCTCCACGTGCTCCCTGCGGCTGCCGTTTTTTTGTTGTTGTTTTTTTGCTTGGGGCAGCAAAAAAGCTAGAGCCGGCCCTGCTGATTAGGCCAAAGCCCCACTGCCCTTGAGCCTGCAGAATACCCAGGCGAATACACCTCAAGCTTTACTTGGCAATTTTGGTATTAAAAGACAAGATTTTAGTATTTCACACCTGTTTAACACCTACTGACTCAGTGTTTAACTACTTGGCACTAGCTACATTCCTTCCCATTAGAACATATGCTAATCCTGTCCCAATTAAGCAACAGCTATTCACTATCAGGCTGAATCGCTTTCATGGGAGACATCCTGATAAAACACCCATCCTGATTTACTTTGTCCCACTAATGTCACATATAGAGTCTACCTGCCATATTAGAGCACTTCGGAAGTTACATATATTCAGCAATATGGAATTGCAGCAGCATCTGGGGGTGGGGGATGGAAAGGGTAGCAGATGACTATCTGGTAAGACACTGCGCAACAGTAGGGCAGGGACCAATGGGCAGATTCGTATGTTTACTAAATACATCATAGACTCTTTAATGTCTACACAGCACACAAGGGGTATGTCTCTACTCCAGGGCTCAGACTCAGGCTTGAGCCCAACCTCCCTTTCTGTCTACACACAATTCTATCTGACTCGAGCCTACCCCCCTGGAGCCAGCAGGAATGGAGCGTTTGAGCCCAGGGCCTGCAGGGACTCAGGTCCACACTCCATTGTTTTGAAGTGTGAACACAGCTCGAGCCTGGGCACCCCCAGACTTGTGTTGTGAGAGTCCACTAAAGCTATACCACAATCCCATGGGACAGTGTCTTTAGTTCTTTCTAACCCAAGACTGGCCGATTGACTCTCAAGAAATGGAAGCCACACCCCTGGTTCACATAGAGCTGCTCAGTGTTTAATCCTTC